TCACATCATGATATTATGCACAATACCATATCACAAATTTATCAATTCAAGTCATGTCTCAATAACAAGCTCTATATACTAATTATCAACATTTAGCAATAGGCTCATATATTAATCACAATTTGTAATTCACAAGAATATAGAATTATTATCACAAAAATATAGCAATTCAAGTCAAAAAGAATTGCATATAACACTAAAAAATCTACTAGAGTCCTATATTACTACCACATGTGAATTTACTAGAATTTAGTATCTACTAAATTATATAATCTTTCTACACATGGTTTACACATATCATACATGCTTAAATCAATAAATCCTAAGTCAAGAAGTGAGGGTTTCCTATAATATGCAATACTATCATATTAAAAGTATGTACACAATATATATTAAACCTCAAAGATTATAAAACACTTAGAATATAAACATACTACCACCCCTACCTCAATAGAGAATTGAATCTCTATAATCCAAGCTACCAAGCACAAAATGGAAAACAAAGTTAGGATTCTTGAAGAGGAGAGTGAAAGGAATCTTTTCTCTCCTAAGGTCAAAAGTCTAGGCTGAGTGGAAGAGTGCCAAAAGTGAAGTCAAAGCTCTTTACTAAGCTTTCTCTAATGGAGTCTTTGCTAGGGTTGTGAAGAACAAGTGTAAAAGATGAAAGAGAAGGTGAAAATGGTGAGTGGAGTGTCTAGAGACCCTCCAGTCACTATGTGCTCTTACACTACCTCTCACACACACACATGCAAGACTAAATCTTGAGCTTACACTTGTCACCAATCCAATGCCTCTTCCAAGACTTAATCCTAGACCCACACTTGTCAACAATCAATGGTTACATGTGCACCAATCCTAGGCCAACACACGGATAACTCTCCACCTTCCAATTGTCAAGAAACTATAGTACCAAGTCTCTCCACCCAATTGCCAACAAGTGGCACCATGAGAATGTGACACTTGTCACATTTTTCAAAAATTACAAAATGGTCCTTTTTCAAAATATCTTCCAAAATAAATTACAAAAAGGTCCCTAAAATGAAAAATAATTATTTTACATAATTACACTAAAATTCCAAAAGTTAAGAATAATTACACTAAAGTATGCATTCATGCCCTTTACAAGAAAAGTACTCAAATAAAAATACCAATGTCATGGAAATCAAATAACATGAATGCATGCAAAACTGGAATCAAATCCGAGCACAACAAGTGAGGTTATGCAAGGAAAAATGAAAAACGGAAAAAAGACGAAATAGAGAAAAGACAAAAATAGGAAAAAGATGAAAAAAGAAAATCGCCGAAAATGGAAAAGGAGGAAAAAGACCGGGTCATTACATACTAGGAAATGATACGCCACACAAGTTCATAGGATTGGAGACATGGAATTAAAATCTCGGAAGATTCTAACTTTGAGGATGTGCGACACCTACCCAATATGAGAAGAAATTTAGTTAATGGATTTTCTATGGTTTATTGTAATGGAAACAAATAGATTTGTAATTTGAAATATCTATATTTTGTGGGAAAGGTTAAGTCAGTGAATGATTGTTTATGTTAAATGTTTTTATTAAATAATTCTCCTCTTGTTTTTCAATATTGAGTTATGTGATATTTTGCATGAAAGACTTGGACATGTTAGTTGAAAAAAATATAATAATAAATAATAAATAAATAAATTAAGAGATCAATGGATTTTACTATAGTCCAAAAATCCTAAAACTGTGGGGGTGCTTAACTAAAGTAATCTTACTTAGATCTAGTTAAAAGGAAAAAGATATGACAAGAAATTTGGTGTGTAGATCAGTAAATCTGTTTATGATCTTTGACAAGCTCTGGAATCAATGGCAAGAGATATTTTAATCTAATTAGAGTACTATAGATTAATGATGATGGTAAATGTGTAACAAAGGAAATAATGGAGAAAAAAATTTTTGTGAATGACATTATTTTTTGGAGATAAACTTAGAAATTTTACCTCTGGATTTTTTTTTTTTTTTAATAAAGGATCTAGAAGAGGCATCATTGATGTTGGGTATGAAAATAGAAATAAATTTCTCAAGGTATCACTCAATTTTTTTTTTTGAAAAGATGTTTTAGAGAATTATTTTTACCAAGTATCAAGTTTGGTATTGCCTATTTGTTGATAAACTTAGTAGATATTCACATAATCTAATTAAAAATCATTTGATGATGTTAGATAGAATCAAACCACAAAAGATTACTCCTTGTGCTATAAAGGTTTTTTCAAATATGGTGAAAAGATATAGTGATGCAAATTGGATAACCAATTAATTAGAAATCAAATAAATTTCTATTTGTGGAATACTATGAATCATATTATTTACTTTTATTTTTTAGCCTTAGATACTACTTGAATCACAAGATTGTGTGGAACAAATTCCTATTACATATCCTACCTTTAATAGATAAGCGAATGTCTGCAAGATTGATATATTATAAGGTGATATTGATTTGGTGAATTAACACCTTATAAAGAACAAGGTGCATGGATATATACAAATGAGATAAATATATGTGAATAGGAAGCATGTGATTTCTTAAGGAAAATATACTGAGATATGAGAAGAAGAACAAAAGAGTGAAAATAAATAAATTTTCTTGGAAGATTGTCTAGATATGTCAAGGGGGATGGGCTTAAGCCCCAAGGGAGTTACCTACGGAGGTAACCCAACCTTCTGATTGGCGATTTAATCACATGACGAAAGGTTCAATGGGTAGAAACAATCTGCACTGTGTGACTCATTGATAACACTATTTTATTAGGAGGTTTCTCGAGGAGATTCTTTCCTGTTCATCCCTATGGCATCAGTGTTGTGATGTGACATTAAGGAAGGGCTCTGCCCTGAATGATTCCAAGGCAAGCATACTCTTGCAGGGTATAGGTCACATATACCCTTGGAGGATTCACCTAAGTGAGACCCGTCATGAGGCCGCGACTATGAGAATTGGGTTGTTCTCTAGTAACTTTCATGAGAATCAAGATATCAACGGATGGCCATTCATAGCGCTACCCCGCTTGACCAAAGTCTCTTGTTGATATTATATGTGTAATGTGTTGAAATTTGGTTCAAATGGCCAAATTCAAGACATAGTTCATTCTGGTTCTTCAAATGGAAACAATTACACTAAGTGAAGATTCAAGCTCAGAAAGCACCTACACCCATTGCATAGTATCATGTTGCCCATATTATTTTTATATATTATATACACATTTATGATTTTAAAAGTTTTAGAATCTTGTGGAGGATTGTTGAGATTTTTAAAAGATTTTAAAAGTCGTTTAAAATATTTCAATATTCCTCTATTATTTAATTTCATTATTTCAATTTTATATTGTAACTTACGGAATTAATTTACATGAACGTTACACTACAACGTATATAATTTATTGATTTTTATTATAGCAGATAAAGAGTTAGCCGTTTTGGCTTCTTTGAGGAGGCCTATATATATGGCAATGGGATGCACTCAAAGGCATATATCAAACTACTCTACCACATTTGCATATTACTTTTCCAGATATTATCATATCAATATCTTTCACATATTTCACATATATTTCACTATTTTGGGCAACTTGACATTGGAGACTTGATCCTTTTTCCTTCTTGTGGTTGTGCACATAGAGGAGGTGTCGCTGAGAGCTGATCGAGTTGTATCTTGGAGTTGATTAGCACCGTCCGCACCTGCACGTAAGGGAGGGCTATCAACTTTAGGTCAACGTGTTTATCACGTGCCTCTCTATATCAGGCAAGCCTTTCTTTAACTTTACTTTTATATTTTATTTGTTTTATTTCTTTTACATGTAACGAGTATATTTAAATTGTGTATTTACAAATATATATATATATATATTTGTGTGCAAGTAATATCATACAAAACTACCATATTCTCATTGATATAATTTCTGCAAAACTTACTTTAATTATCAATTATATTTATATAATATTTTAGTATGATTCGTTTATAATATTTTAGTGCATAAAATTTTATTTCCATAACCGAATATTCTTCATGTCGATGGGTTAATCCAAAGGAAAGCCCAACTTATACTGGGCTGTGGAAATCAAAGATGATCATCTTTCTGGTTTACCATGGGTTTTAGTACACCAGCTATTCGGCCGAGCCCAAAAGGAGACTAATGCGTCTAATGGTGCAACAACATGGAAGTTGTCATTATGCTGTGTTACCATAGTTCTGTTCTGTAGGTGGCTACTATGTTCTGTGTTTGTTGAATGTTTTCCTGATCATCTCTTTGAGATGGATGAACTATGTACTCTTGTTGGGTTGTAGTGTTTTATTTGCCATAAAAATAAATAAATAAATAAATAAAGAAAATCCTCAAACTTTGATAATAAGATCGAAATGTCTCTGCAAGTATAGTTGTTTATTGGAGTGTTAATGGGATTGACAATCTATTACAAATATTTTTATCACAATCTATGACAATGAAACGCCAGTTTTACAACTTTTCTGGATTAACTTGCTTCCAAGTCAAAACTATGATATGGCCTCAAATATTACCACACATAGATCTACCGTTCATGTGACATCTGGGAAAAAGTTTCTGGTACCTGTAGGGAGGCGATGCCTCTTACATGTTTAAACGTGTTTTGAAAGAGTTAAATTCCATAAGGGTGCAAAACGGACAATATCCAGCAAGTTAAAGAGGGAAATTAAGCAGTGAAATTATTATCAATATATTTGCCCATCTCCATGTCACCATTTCAAGAGTCCATGTACCAAACAACTCTAGATATATGTGTGGGTGGGCACGTGCAATCAATTTATCAAAAAACTTCCTTGTACCCATTCTGCAACGGGCGCATTTGGACCGTCTGTGTAATTCACGCACGATAACGAATGTTTGGATGTGTCCATTGCAGAAATTTTTCTCCAATTTAACAAGAGATTTAAGGACCTATAATGTGAATACAACAAAAACAATTTAACAAGAGATTTAAGACCCCATAATGTGAACACAACAAAAACAAGCATACCCTTGTAAATTTCTTAGATGGATAAGACAGCTGAATATGTTTTCCTAGGGCTTGAAATGGTTTCAATTACATTCTACAGGCTTGTATTATAGCCAGAGTTTTCAGACTCTAAAATTACAGTATTTGCATCTGCCAAAAGTTGAAACTTTTTCACACTACAAAGTACAAACATGTATCCTAGAAAATTATGACATCACAGTTGACCAAAATTTCCACAATAAGAATACTGATACCTCTCTATGATATTAAATAAATTAAACACCACTAAAATTATAAGCTCTTAGTTATATTAGACCTATCCCAAGCTTCACATCTGTCCTTCACTTCCATAGAAGACCAAATTCCCGAGGAAGGCACACCGGCTTTGAATTACTTAGGATGGAGATTCTAGGGAGGAAAATGCTCAACATCCATTGAAGGGAAACCAGATTGTTGTATTCTCATTCCTCGAAGAAGACTCTTGGCTGTTTCCTTCTCCTGCAATCAAGTGTGAAGAAAAGGAAAGTTAATAAAGGTTAACCAAGATTTGTAAGTCTGCACACAGAGTGCACATATTCAACAGAACTGTGATATAGATTACCGGGCCAGTATAATCCATAAGTCGGGTACAATACACCTCGGCTTCTTCAAATCTCTTCTGGGCTTTGCAATGCGTGGCAAGAAAAAGTAGTGCTTCAACCATATTTGGCCCCTCCCTCTCTTCAACTTCCATCCTCTCCAAGTCCTTCTTGTAGTAAAATGCTGCCTCTTCAGAACGTCCAAGCTCATTATGCAACTTTGCAAGCTGGTGAAGAGCAATTGCTTCCCTATCATTACAATTTGCTGCCCTTCTGTAACACTTGATTGCCTCTTCAAGCATATGAAGCTGATCGGTTTCATAACACTGAGCCATAGCGATCCATAACCGAGAATCATTTGGCTGCAAGAACACCGATTTTTTGAAATAATGAAGTGCATAAAAGGGCATAACCATCATTTCATATGCCTGTCCTAATCCATACCAGGCTCTATAATCACATGGATTTATATCCACAGCTCGCCTATAGGCATCAATCGCAGCCGGGGTGTTCTTCATCTCAACATACTCATGACCCATAAGAGTCCAAGCCGACAGAAAATTTTTATTCAGTTTGAGTGCCCTCCTAAAATACACAACTGACTTCTCATGCTGCCCCTTCAAACTGTAATAGTTCCCAATAATGCAACAAGACTCGGGTCTGTACTTATCAGTCAAAAATACCCTGTGGGCAAGGTAACTTAGGGCAGAGGAACACTCCTTTGCATATAACACATTAGAATACATATCCATGTCTTCAACTCGATAAGGGTCATTCCTCAGAAGTTCTTCAAATATAACCTCAACTTGTTCAAATTCCCTTAGACTGTACTGGGCTTTCGCAATTTGAGCCTGGATGTAGTTGCTGAAACTGAAAGTTCCTTGTAGATATTCGTATTTTGCTAAAGATTCATTGTGCATTCTAAGTTCTCGGTAAGCACTGGCAAGAAAGAAATCTTTCATCCAGTGACTATTAAGATTAAGACTGTTCAAGGTCTCAATTGTAGTGCACAAGGACTGCAGTTCTGACCAAGCACTCCAGTTCCATGGGTAGCTATTCACCGACTCCACAAGCACTGTACGAGCAAGGTTCTCACTGCCTTTTTCTTTGAGCACAAGCCCATACAAGTAAAGCCCGAAAGGGTCAATCACACCATTTTTGCGAAGAGCTGATAATTCTCTCTCGAGAGAAACCAGTTCACTGTTCAAAGCGTCGCTCTTGCCCAAGGGTCCCTCAAGTTCTATCATCTCTTCCTCTTTTCTCTTTTCTCCAGCCTTCATAAAAGAAAATAGAAAAAGAAAATAAATCCAGGTCATTCTAAAATCATATAATCTTGATGTTGAATTGATATCTTTTGAATTAGCAATTGTAGAAAAAATGCAATAAGCAATTACACAGTATTTCTATAAGAAATTGCGTTGTGCAGTAATAGCATCATGTACAACCTGAGTAAATGGATTGAAGTAGATCATTTTCAGTAGGAAACTACTGAACAACCTTTTACATTTCCAAATTGATATCCATAATCCCCTTTTACATCATCATACAGTTATACAGTGCAATTCACCCTACCAATATCTAGAAAGCTTTAAATTAATTTGCATACATATAGAGAACTATAAGAAACCAATACTGCTAAAGAAAACTAATGCTGAACGTGTTTGTAGTAATTCTATTTGAGTTCCGGTCTATGTTACATTGACTCTTCAAAAGTAGATAAAATACTAGCGTGATTGTGTCAGACACAAAATACTTAGACATGGGTGTGGGATATGTGTCCGACTCGTTTGGTTGGATATGCACCTAAAAAGCATATCCAACAATTCAATTTTATTATATTATTGCTTCAAAAAAAGTGAAATGCCTATATTGAACACTTTGTTACATAAAGACACTAAATCATACTCTGAAAAATGAAATAAAAAGATTAATTATAGGAATATGCACCTAAAATGCACATCCAACAATTCAATTTTATTATTTTATTGCTTCAAAAAAAGTGAAATGCCTATATTGAACACTATGTTACATAAAGACACTAAATCATACTCTGAAAAATGAAATAAAAAGATTAATTATAGGAATACTGAGCACTATCTCTATGTCCTTCTGTTTGTGGACACGAATGACACTTGAATACATACTCATACCCCATACATGTACCTGAGTCCATGTAGCATAGGTTCCAGTTACTCCAAATTACCATAAAGATAAAAATGGTATATAGCACCTGATCCAAATATATATCTATTAATTTTCTGAATGAGCCCTCATAAGGGCTCACCTTTTATCATGCTATCAATTACCATCGCAATGCAAGAACTATACATGTTAAGTTATATGGTTGTTCATCCATTCATGAATTCCTTATAATTTCACTAGATTTGCATTGCCATGGTCCACTTACGCAGCAAAGTTTGAAAACTAGCCTTCTAAGATCAACCTATATTAAACATCATGACTAAATTTTTTGATAGATGATCCTTCTTTGCATTATTCAGACATTATGTGGATGAAACAAGCTGGTCAAGAGGCCTAAACAATGCTTTTTAATTATATATTACAAGGTAACATCCTCAAACCAATAAAGAGCATACTTTATAAACGAATCATGAAACTAATACTTCTAAAAAGGAGCTTGTACATGTCGGATATATATTGGAAACAAACACTCCGCAGCACCAACAGACACATATAAGATGTTTTTATAATTTAGATTAAAAAATTTAAATTCCGAGCATGCAGCCAACACTTTTCAATCACTCACCAACATGAGATAATTAAAAGGTGAACTAAAAAATATCCTTTTATTTTGATATGGAAAGAAGCCTAGGTTTAAGAAATATATTGAATGCATGTTTATATAGAAATGGTCAACATGCTTATCCGGATATGGGTGATATAGGAAGACCATCATAGAAGTGGGGGTGAGATGAAGAGACAAGCCATGCACCAGATATTTTTAAGATATTTGGGATGTCCCCTTAAAAAGTTATACTCCCCAAGTGTGACATCTAATATGGGACAAAGGGAGTATAAAATAATTTTTAATCTTGTATAATAATGCTACATCTATAAATATATGTCTTCAATAAATAACATTACCATGCTCATGTCCTACTCAAAGATTTGCTGTGGCAGTGTCTCTACATTGTGTCGTGTCCACATCAGTCCAGAATTAACCACACTTTGCAAAAGAAAGCATTAACTCAGAACTATTATGGTTTAGCTACATGATTCCTTCGCTAACAGCACTACCAAAGGTCATGTCCTGGGTCAAAACAGGGAGATCATTTCCTTTTTTTACTACCTTAAATCTTAATTCAGATTCTTTTTGGCATTTCTCTTACTCTTATTCCACCTTTAATATTAATCAAATCATTTTTCTTAAGGGTGATTCGGTAGGATCAAAACCTTAAATCCCATCCAAAGAATTCCATAGTAGATCTTTATGAAGTCATTCCCCAGTGTGGTCTGTTAACCAAGGGTACTAGGAGGCAGAGTGAATAAGACCAAGTCCTGTGCCATTATTTTCACTTAATATTCTATGAAATTTTCAACATAATTTTAAGTTCTTGAATAACAACCTTCATAGATCTGTTGATAAATACTTCTTTTCCTGTAACTTCATTGGGGTTCTTTCATTCTCTGTAACCTGAGAAGTGAAACATTAGTTACTCTCATTATGGTATAGTTAATTATCATGACTTCTCAATTCTTACAGTACTCAAGTTATTAGTAACCATGACTTCTCACTGTACTGTACAGAAACCAATTAATGAGTTGTCTTAAATTTATGTTTTCAATTTTGATTAGTTGTGTGATGTTGTGGCCCGAATTTGGTTCCAGGTCGTGTTGCAGCCTGTTTATGACCCGTTGGAGCTCTGGGGGTTCGGGCGCTTGCCCGAGGAAAATTTTTGACCCATTTTTGCTTATGAGTCGTGGACCCTAATTAGTACTCTCTTGTAGCCCAATATATAAGGGTGTTTAAGGTTTGGAGTGTAATGATCAAGAAATCATACAGAGAGAGAGAGTGAGGGGCTGAAACTTGTAATCTACGATTTTACAAATAATGAAGACTTTCGCCGGATCTCCACCGTGTGGACGTTGGCTTTGCCGAACCACATATAAATCTTTGTGTTCTTCGTATGGTGTGTTTATTTTTTTGTTGTGTTTCATAATTGTTGCTTGGTTCGTTGTGTTTGTTGTAACAAGTTGTTTAATAGTGGTTTCAAAATATTTATTTTAGCAATAGATTCTTTTTTTTTTTAAAGATAAGTAAAAATGTATTAGAAAACGTTCAAAAGGGGACCACATCCCAAAGACAACACAAAGGCCAAAGACAAAAAGGGGCCGAAAGGGCAGCAATAGATGCTTTTTCACTCCATAGTTGCAAAAAGTTGAATGAATCAATAAGAGCACGTGAGGGAAGATCAAATTAAAAAAAGAATCAAGTAATCGATGAAAATATAACTTGAGAATGAAGTGAAATATTTTAAAGTTTTGATTTAAGATATAGATAATAAATTATGGGAAATGGACACATTAGTATTACTCAATGTTTTCTTTGATTTTACTTTCAAGAGGAGAAAGATGGATAATGAATTCCATCCATTTTACCACTGGTGGAGAAAAAGGAAAATTAATAACAAGAGAATTGTTTCATGATTTCAGGACATTCTTTATGATAACGATTTTGGCTTATTGGTGTATACTTTTTACAACAGTTACAACTTTGTGTTAAAGATTTTAACTTCTTGTATTATTTTTATAACAACCCAAACCCTACCCAGACACAATATTGTCCGCTTTTGGCTTCCCCGAACCAGAGAATTTTAAGGAAGTCACCCATCCTGATACTATTCCAAGTTAAGCACACTTAACTATGGAGTTTTGATGAATTCACGGCCATCACGGCTTTAAAATGCGTTGTGTTATAAAAGGGTGTTGAACCTACATATAGCACTTCCCCTTTCCACACTTCGGCGATGTGGGATTTTGCACTTGTAGCTTCGCCAGCCAGTGCCTCGCACACCCGCCCACATAAATCGCCACAATTACCCCCCCCCCCCGGCGGGCCCCAATGTCCCCGTTGGCCACATTTTTTGTTGGGTCAGGCTCTGATCCCATTTGTAACAACCCTCACCCTACCCAGACAAAATATTGTCCGTTTTTTGCTTCCCTAGACCATACTTCCTAGGAGGTCACCCATCCTTGTACTACTCCACGCTTAACTACAAAGTTCTGATGGGTTCACAGTCATTACGACCTTAAAACGCGTTGTATCATAGAAGGGTGTTGACCCTACGTATAGCACTTCCCCTTTCCACACCCAGGCAATGTGGGATTGTGCACCTATAGCTCACCCAGTGTGGTAGTCTTTCAGTGCCTCGCACCCGCCCACATAGGTCGCCACAATTTTACTCTTCTCAATCTTTTTTTTTTTTTTTAATAAATAAAAGATATAATTGGTATGCCCACTTAATGAAAATGAACTATATCTCTTCTCAATCTTATATAAGAGTGAGGAAGGGAGGGAAGGTGTAGCATTTCTATATTAAGAGGTAGGTGAGTGGAGTTCATCCGTTAAAAATTGGGAACTAACCATCTTACATCAGCAAACATCTAAGCCAAGGGCATCCTCAATAAACAGAACTACAACACTCTTTTTCCTGTTCATTTCTAATTTATTTTTTCATATTGAACTTGAAAGCGTTGTAGGTGAAGATTGTTAGGTTATGTAAACTAACCTATGTTGACAATGCATTAATATGCTGTCCATGTGGCCAGAACAGATTACAAAACCTTGACAACTTATACCTACAAAAGTGTATCTAAACCTTGACCTTTGTTTTCTACTCTTCTCATTGGAGGCCTATTAGGTTTATAACAAGTTAAGAAGCAGTGATGCGCCAAAAAACATGGATAAATGATAGTTTACTACCGATATAACACTTTTAAGATCACTGATATGGCATCAAGCTACTGAACTTATTCCTATAGAGATTTTTGCAAGACAATCAATCAAATTGGCGAGGAGTGTACTTACGTCTCAACTCTCAAGTACTTTGAAAACACAATCAAGTGCTCCTAGCGAATTATTATGTGTTCTACTAACAAGCTGATGAAAGAAAATATAAGCACAACTTTAAATGATATCATGTAAAAAAATGAGAAAAAACACTAAGGCATGGAAAAGGGGGTAAAAAAGTCATAACATGGATCAAGTTTCATCAAGCAAGCAAACCACCATGAAACTTTAAAAATTTTCCCCAATATCTTTAATCCGTTACAATAAGTATCACTCCAACAGGCTTCCTCCAAACTCCAATGGCTTTAAACAATTCTCTCCATACTCCATAAGCACAAAAATGTGCAAAAACAAAAACCTATTGAAGGGAAGGCTTTCATAGATGGGTATTTAGATTTGCATTTCTTGATCTCTGTGCCCAATTATAAAAGAAGATTTCCTTACTTTAAGAAAAGAACAATAGTCCCTTAAAAAAAAATAATAATAATAAAAATAAAAAGTGTGTATTTATATTATTATGGTCCAAAATGTACCAGACATTTCATATTCATTCAAATGATTTTGTATGAATATAATTACAGCATAAGCTCAATCTTTACTCAGAAGGTATTTGGCAGTGATCAAACTATCAATAAATTAAAAACCCCGAAAACCACCACCAAAACCTCTATGGTGTTGCACCTCCACCACCCTCCTTCCCCCAAAATTCCTACTCAATTTCAAGTTTGATATGCATGGAATATAACTAGGCTGAGAGCAAAATTAGGAAATCCATTAATTCCAAGTAAATCAATCAACCAATCCCATTAATTAACAAAAAAAAATATTCATAAATATATGCCTATCATAATTATAAGTCACAAATCACAATCCATCATATCAGAAAAGGGCTAATAAACAATTACTGATATAGAAGAGAGTTGCAACAAACCAAGTAAAGAGCATAACAGCGCAAGAACAGGGCTTTCTTGCCAGTCTGGTCACGGAGCACATGAGCAGCCCTCCGGTATTCCCGGCAATCGAAGTAAGACTTGGCTAGAAGGTAAAAATCACTGTCTGTAGCCTCATTGTCTTCCTCCGGCACCGGAGTGGACACATACGACACGCCGGCCGCCGGCGTGGAAGTGATCTCGTTGGTGCGGAACCGCCGGCGAATGCTGGAACTTCCTCTCTGGAATCGGGTGTGAGACGGTGTGAACTTCGCCGGGTCTTGCTCGATTCCCACCAACTGTTCTGCTGCCCTATCAGTGAAACCAAACCAAATCACATATAACTTACAAAAACCAACGAAACTACAAGTGGGTCAATTTGAAAATCCAAGTTTTTTATTTGAAATTAAAATGCAAAAATGCCAAGAAATCGTTTTTGAAACACATATATACACAGTGAGTGAGTCTATATAACTATCTATATACATATATGATAACATTCAAGATTGTATTTTGAAACGGGAGATAATTATACTAATTAAATCAAAGAAATCGCGAGTGGGTCAATCGAGATTCAAAATTGTAATCTGAAATTTAGATGCAAGTAATCGTTTTTGAACACATACACAGAAACACGTACATATATATATATATATATATATATATATATTCAAGACTGTATTTTGAAATGGAAGAGAGAGGGGGGACTATATGGGGTTTTAGGGTTTTGGTTTTTTTGGGTACCATTTGGAGGCAGGGTAGAGGCAACGATCGCTGAGCTGACGGATTGCAGTTCGCAGCTCATTCCTGCAACTCTCTTTCGTGCCCATCGAACTCTCTCTCTCCTCTCTTTCTCTCTCTAGATAGATTATTGGTCGGACTGATGGTGGCGTTTTCGGTTATTCTAAGCCTCCAAATTGAAATCTCCGGGCGTGTAAGTCTCCGCGCTCGGTTCTCTTTTTTTCAAAAGAAGCAACATAATTTGAGTAGTACAAAGGGCCCAACTTTAATTTTTACTAGCTTTAATTTTTAGAAAATAATTTTTGAAAACAATCAACCAAACAAATTTTTATATATTTATGAATAAAAAAATTGTACAAATTTTTTTATTTTCAATTTTTAGAAAAGAAAAAATATTTTCAAAAAAATGAAACACACGGTTAGCCTCCTTCAATCCCTCGCAAAATTCAGGTAACCAAATCTAAGCAAACTCGAAGCAAGAATAAGTTTTCCACGTCCCAGCAAACTCAAAGCAAGAAATTGATATATATAGTTTTTAAGATGTTACTGTAGTTACTCATGAAAAAAAAAAACCGACAACAACAACAACAAATTTCACCTGCACCCCCTTGACCTTTGACCATATCCCACTTACACTTCCTCTAGGTTTCAATATTCCACCTACAACCTTGACCTTTTGATTTAAGTACCAAGTTACCCTTTGCCGCTAAGCAACAAATCATTAGTGCGGATGTCAGGATGAGAAAATAAGTAAAAAGTCAATTTTGTCATTCTAATATCTTTAACCTAATTGACCAATGCCTAATTACAAAACTATCCTTAATTTATTAACTCAAAAGTACAACAATGCCCTTCTATTTTCACTTTCTCTACCAACCAAGATCATCACCATCACTGCCCGAATACCCACCACCATTCTATTGTTTATCCTCCTCCATCACCGGCTGCAACAACAACGCCGTGAACGGGCATGTGTCCGTACCCATTACCATTCAAATTTGTTTTGGGTTTATCTTGGCCACTCTAACTCTAATGGTTTTTTTTTTTTTTTTTTTACGTATTTATTTAATTTTTTGTAACTTCTTTTTTGGGTTCATTGCCCGCAACTCCCTAATGAATAATATTGTATAGAAGTTCATCATATTTAGCAAATATATCTACTATTCTTACTCGAAAATGGATCAATTTGTGGAAGTTCAAAGATTCAAATCCCAAAAAGACAGTTTTCTGTTCCTCCTCATTTGGGAACAATTGCCATTTCAAACAAGATGGATTGCACAGCATTATGGAGTTTTTTTCATGATTATTGATAATGTAAGTATCTGGTTTAATCCTTCAGTATGTGTTTTTTCCATCCATAGGTTGTGTGTGGCACAAGTCTAACCTACAAGAACCCATCAATTGGGAGGCCGAAACCGACGGAGGAGATGATGATACAGGAATGGTTCCGGCGGTAGTTGAGACGGGTCGGCCCGGATAGTGCCCCTCTATCAACCTTCAAATTAACTATATATATCAAGATTTTGGTTCAATCAAAGGGTTCAACCATGGCTTCAGTTCCTATTTCTCATGGAATCTTTCTGCCTACCGTGTTCGCAGTGGTTCGGGTTTGAGTCACTGCCGGTTAATCCTTGCTCGGATGCTCCTCGTGCCCTTGTGTCCAGGACGAGAGACAAAGAGAACAGCGTGAGGGTCTGAGGGAGCGGCGTGAAGAACCCACAGGCGATAAGCAAGGATGGTCTCTGAAATTTTCTAAGTTCTCACTGGACTGAAATGAACCCAACTAAAAACACACTGGACTATTTGGTCTATATGAGGCTTGCCAGAACTGCTGGGTTTAACTAGAGCTGGCTGAAACAGTATCTGAACCTACTTCACCGGAATGATGGCTCTTTGGTCATCGTCGGAACAGTTAGTCATCGTACTAAGCACACCGAAACTGAAACAAACCGTTCTGAACAGAAGTAATGCTCGCTGAGCTGAACCAAAACTAACCGAACTATGATGAAGATCGCCAGATTAAAAGGCGTTGATTTAAGATCACCAAACTGTTGGGTTGTGAAGATTGTGGGAGTCATTATTAGAAGCTGACATGGCGTGTTGACAAGTCAACGCGACCCCAACAAATCCCCTGTGGTGATTTAAAAGGTCAAAAGCCTCGAGAAACCAATCCTCGAGCATCTTAAGCCCTAGCATCGTTCTAGGCTCATCAAGCCTTAAAAAACCAACTCTTAAGCATATTCAGCCCTGGTATCACCCCAGGCCCATCAAGCCTTGAGAGACCAACTCTCGAACATCTTAAGCCCTGGCATCGTTCCAGGCTCATTAAGCCTTGAAAGACTAACTCTCAAGCATATTAAGCCCTGGTATCGCTCTAGGCCCATCAAGCATTGAGAGACCAACTCTCGAGCATATTAAGCCTTGGTATCGCTCCAGGCCCATCAAGCCTTGAGAGACCAACTCTCGAGCATATTAAGCCCTGGTATCGCTCAAGCTTTGAGAGACCAACTCTCGAGCATATTAAGTACTGGCATTGTTCTAGACTCATCAAGCCTTGAGAGGCCTACTCTCGAGCATATTAAGCCCTGCATCGTTCCAGACTCATCAAGCCTTGAGAGACCAACTCTCGAGCATATTAAGCCCTGGCATCGTTCCAGACTCATCAAGCCTTGAGAGACCAACTCTAGAGCATATTAAGCCCTGGCATCGTTCCAGACTCATCAAGCCTTGAGAGACCAACTCTCGAGCATATTAAGCCCTGGCATCGTTCCAGACTCATCAAGCCTTGAGAGACCAACTCTCGAGCATATTAAGCCCTGGCATCGTTCCAGACTCATCAAGCCTTGAGAGACCAACTCTCGAGCATATTAAGCCCTGGCATCACTCCAGGCCCATCAAGCCTCAAGAGTCGACCCTTGAGTGCTCTAAGCCCTGGCATCATTCCAGGCTCATCAAGCCTCGAGCAACCAACTCTCGAGCACCCTAAGCCCTGGCATAGCTCCAGGCCTATGTAAGCCCCGAGGAGCCAACCCTCGAGCACTCCAAGCCTTGGTATCATGCCAGGTAACACCACTGTGAAGGATCAGAGCCCTGAAAGGCTCGCTGTCAAAATTCGCACGTAGCATAAAGCGAAGGTAGGGTCTTCGTGGCTATAAAGATTGGGAAACTTAGGAGGATCTTGGATTGGTGGATGAGAAGTCAAGAAGTGCCTTCGCTTTTAGCAAAGCCCAATTAACAAGATGATTGGATTATACACATTATGACAGTAAACCTTAAAATCACATTTAATGTTATATCAGGCTTGACCAACCAGCGACCAAGCTATATTTAATGCCCTTGATTAAGGGAGAAATGACATGGCAACAAAGTGCAAGGCTCGATGAAAGGATTAGACCTTTCAGGCTCCTAAATCCCCAAGATTACCCGCGTAATCCTGACTAGGAGCAATGCATGCGAGAAACCATGCACGGAGGGGACCATTGGATAATAACCAATGGAATCCGAGCCTATAAATAGCACTGTCCTATAAAGAAATAACCAACCAAGAAGAGGAAGCTGTCATAAGATACTGTATACTTGCCCTACCACCATCTTAATCTTGATAGTTGGTTTTTTTCTCCTCCTCCTACACTGAGCATCTCCTCTGTTGTCCTTCGTATTTGTATTTCTGATATCACCATTGTATTAGTGTTTACTACCTGATTAAAAAAGAACCCCTACAAAGATGAAGCTCGGTTGTTTCCATGGAGTTTCAGTGACTCCCATTGATCATCAATAACCACGTTGACTTATGTTCTTTAAATGGATTTCATATATAGCAAGCCGGCGATGAAGGAACTTACCAGGAGTAGAGAAGATGTGATACAAAAGGAATGTAACGTGTCCAATTTTCGTCATTTTCCAATTTCTGAAATTTGTCGTTCATGCAAGGGCATTTTTGACTTTTTTCGTTTTGCATTCCAAACACCGTGGGGTGTGCCGAACACCGTGGGTTGTGTCCAAGAGTCGGTTGGGACATTTCATTGAATCTAGAAATCTTTGAAATATCAAGGTTGCCATTTTTGCATTTTTTTTCATTTTTCGGGCCGGACGGTTCCGTGTGGGACCTGCTACCAGAATTTTTGCATCCCAGGATCTTTGTTGGGTCCATTTGCATCATATTTATTTTATTTAATGTGTTTTAAATGATTGTGAATTAATGTGTATAAGTATATATGTGGTGTGTAATGAAACTAAAAATAAAAGGAAAAATAAATTTAATTTTGGTGGGGCCCACACATCATGTTAAAGATTCAACCAAGAGGCATTTAGGCCTCATTTCTTGCTTCCCATTCTCTCTCCCCGCTGGTTCTCTCTCTCACCCCCTTTACTTTGCTTTTTCTTTTTCTTTTTCAATCAAAATTTTAGAACTTGATTCCTCCTTCAATCTTTGGAATTTTTAGGTGCCGTAGCGCAGTGAGATCTTCGAATTGACGTAAGCAATTTCAGTTTTGGTGCATCCTAGGATTTTCGAAATCTAGGGTTTAAATTGGGGATTTTTCATCTTCTTGAGGTAGGGGTTCTTAATCCACAACTTCTTACTCCTTTGTGAATTTTTCTATGTGTTTTGTTATATAACATGCTCAATTGTGTTGAATTTTCCTTTAAATGACTTAATTGTGTATTTAAAGTATGCAATTATGTGAATTAATTGATGTTGTATGAGAAAGAATGTTTAAGTGGTGAATTTATATGCCTATTGTGTTTGTTTTTGCTAAATTTTCAATATTGAGACATGTTGGTTTTTATTAGAAATTTCCTACAAAGCTTGCTATATTGCGAACATATGACTTGTATGGTATGTGATTCCCCTTTATGATATTGTTGAAAAGTATGATGCATTCATGCATAACATTGGGCAAAGAAAATGGGAAAGAAATGTTTTGAAATGAAAAAAGGGAATTTCAGGAAAAGTTTTGATTAAGAATGATTTTGAGAAAACCCGGTCACCGCAGAGTCACCAAAGGGCCGGTGTGTTAATGTAACCTAGAAAGAATTAGGGGAAACACCCTAGCGTGGTTGAGCTAGCTGGGCCCCAAATGACGCCGCGGAGGTACCAAGGGTCAAGGACATTAGCCAATCCTTCTCTCGTGTCGCCGCGGAGTCACCAAGGGATAGGTTATATTAACAGTTTGAAAAGTGATGGATGATTTTGAGAAAAATGGGGAGCAACATGGCATAACATTACATTTC